GGTAAGTCTATCGCACACAAACTTCCGGTTAATAGACTTTTTACCGTATGAGTATACGTTTCCCAGGGTGCACCACGTGGAGGTAAGTCTATCGCACACCCACCAGGGTGCACCACGTGGAGGTAAGTCTATCGCACACCCCTGTTTACTTTTGTTAATAGTGTCTAATCATATAGACACTTATTCTTGGAATCCATTTCGTGTGTAAACACGATGCCTTCACCAAACGGGGAGAACGAGAACTTTCATGGGGCTAAAGGTAATTTTCCGTTTTCATTCTGATTTGGAAGGGTTATTGAGAATCGAGTCTATCTCTGAAAGTCGGGACCAATTGTATGAAACCATTAGTGGAACTTATTGCTCATTTAAACTAGAGTCGAAATTTCATTTTAGCAAAATACAATATTTTATTTTTCATTGGCTTTATTTCTTGAAAGGATAATGCTTTTTTACTCTGCAAAAAATGCTCATCTTAGATGAGAAATTTACTAATTTTGTTACAATTTCCTTGCGAATTGCCACGAGAATACTCTTTCGATTGGCGACTTCAAGAATCACTTTTGCTACATTTGCTTTCGGCTTACAAAATCTGTTATTGTGGATGAGAAGGGTGAGAGAGTAGATCTCTTGATAATGAACAAATCGTGGCTACTTTCACTGAAGTGAACATTTTCTCATTAAATTTATTGCACTGAAATTGAACATTTTCATCCTATGAGATGCAGTCTCTACTCTCGTAAAATCAATGACTTCAAGAGACACCTTGGTTCTTGAATCGGAGCTCTGAGGCACAAAAGGCGAGAATCCATGTGCACTTTGGAATGAGTTTAACCGCCTGGAAACTATTGGAAATTTACAGACTAATCACCTTGGTGATATCTCTATAATTATGATTACGTAGTCCCTGCGACTGCCAACCTCTCATCGAATTCTCTAAGCCAATTCCCGACACGAGGGTCACTATGCCCACAGCTTATTTAGTTTCTGCTTTCTAATGCTCCACCGCTGTTTATTTCCCTATTAGTAGTGCCAAGATGGCATATCATGTGATAATGGTAAGACAATAGTTTTGGCCAACAGATGGTCGTGAATTCAGCCATTGCTCATTAGGCATGGTTTCTTTCATAGGTTAAAAGTAATAATTCAGAGGAAGGGTGGCTAATGGTTAATTATTGCAAGTAGGTTCTTAAATTTCTGATGAAAATATTCAAGTAAACAAATTTTGTCACTAATAAACGGGTTGCTCTGTGAGTTTACTTATTCATCACTTTTAAAGGTAATACGATCGCATTAATATTAAAAAAATCATTTAAAAATTCTTAACCTATTTAAATAAAAATTATTTAAAATGCAAATAGTGCCTTTAAAGAATAGCAAAAGCAACTATAATTTAGGAACGTACAATTCTCTCTTTTTACGTTCGTGCCTTGATTAGCAGTAATAAAATCAAATAACAAATTAATGAAATAATTTAATATAAGTGTAATTCCTTTATTATTAAATCAACTTTACTACATAATAATAATAAGAATGCGTCAATGGTAATTCATGCATAGTTTATTGCACGAATACGGATACTCAATACTATCTTTTCATTGAATAAGAAAATGCTAATATCTCTGAACATGCTCCATTTCAGGTTGCGAGAAATGATGCTATACGTCACATTTTCAGTGCCACAGTTGTGACTTCTTTAAAAAAACTGGTCTCACCACCCACCCACGCCATCCTTCATTTCATCAATAAGATCACTTTTGGTTAAGTCGAAAAGGCACTCTGGATATAAGCTATCTTGGAGGTCTTGCTTCAGAGACAAGTGCGGAAGATTAGCAAAAGCAGTCCTTTTTATGCGTTGCCAAAGTAATGTAAGCACAATGTATTGTGGTTCTGCAAACCCATTGGAAGTAGTTGACTCATTGACTCAAGTCTTATCCTAAAGTAGGGAGAGGGGGGGGGGTGGGAGGAGGGGATAATCCTGCTGAATACTATGCGAAGAATAGTTTAGACGGTATCGAAATTCTCTCGCTTCATTGTGGCCCTCATGTGTCGTAAGTTTAAAAATCTAAGATCAATAGGGCATGGCTAAGTGAAAAGTTAATGGAATGGCTATTTGTTACACAAGCTCACGATGGAAATAAGAGTACAATTCAGATATCTCCAAGCAGTTTAAATCGGATTAGGATGTCTATAGTGTATTAAATTCATAATCGAAATCTTGAAGTCGAGAAAGCTTTATTCTTATCATCGTCAAATGAGACGTCAAGCTACCTCCTTGGGTGTGTAAACTGGGGGGGGGCTCTTGTCAAGAAACGCGAGTTTATTTTTTTCAGGTGAAACAGATCGCTGTCTCTTTAATGAGTTTGATCAGCATTCAAGCAATCTCTTACGGCTTAAATTAACAGACTAAATGGTCACAATTTTCGAATTCCTTTAAATCAATAATATACGCACACACACACACCACTATGTATCGATAGGCACACATTCAAGTTGGGCGACGGTAGAGAGGGAGAGGAGGAGGCCATGAAAGGGGTTTATTTATGACCTCTTGTTTACTAAACAAAACACTTATATAAGCGCGATGTAAGGCGTTTTCGTGTTATTGATGCTTGGAGGTCAAAACACCACCGACTTGATATCATTTTATGCCCTGAATAACAATCATACTACCAGGAACGGCTTGTGCCTCCCTTATTGAAGACAACTGTTTATCTCACGGCAAAAAAACAATATTTGGGTGGTTTTGAGATCTAGTTGTTGACTTTCCATTCCTTTCAAGGCCAAATATTCTGAATTAGTGACTATTTCGGTAAGTGAATAAGACAAGTGCACTGACTATTCAAAGATGCAAAACTATTTTTTAATATCAAACCGGTTTGAACTGGTTCCTGAAACGCAAAGTTATAGTTATTGTAACCACGGATAGCTTTGAAACAATCACAGTATTCTGAGCGATTTATAAACGAGTAATTTTGAACTCGAAACTTCAACTTTCATTTTTTACCACATGAACCCGTATTCTTGCCAATTTTTCCCTGGACATAAATTTTATTTAAATGCATCGAGTATCATTCAGGAATAAAGACGTAAACGCTCAAAAAATTTCCCCTTTTAATTTACCATTTTTTTTTGATATTTCTGTAGATGGAATCATGCAAAAATAAAATTGCCCATTGGTGGTTGTCTAGTTCCATAAAATTTTAAAAACTTGCTGATACAATCAGTGAATAGAGTCATCAAAAAGTAGCATGATATTTTAGAATAAATTATGATGGGAAATATTTTGGGGAGAGAGGGAAATATATATATATATATATATATATATTTATGTAATGTGCAATATATCAATTTCATGCTTTTATAATTCAAATTATTTCCTCAAAAGTAAACTTTTTGTTAAGGCTTTAAATCTCATTTAAAGTAACTAAAGTTAAAACATCATAATTCCTTTAAATTTTAACTATTTTCACTTAAATTATCCTCCAAGTGTCATTATTCAAAAGTGTATTGATTTAATTTTCGCAATAATGTTGTGGATTGAGTAAGCACTGGAATTTACTTTGAAATCCAGGTCTTTCGAGTAAAGAACAAGTAATCAAATTTAATTTAGGTGGGAAAGTGGTATTTTTTCCCCAGGTTGAGTGGAGGAAACAGGCGAGCAAAATACGCCTTTAAGGTTACTCACCACAAATGAGTCACTTCGAGAGGTGAACATGAGTCGACGTTGCAAGCAAAATGACCACTACTCAATGGGTTATAGGCAAAGTGGTGATTTGTTTGCCAAAAAACCGAATTACCCACCAACTCCTTAATGGCTGAGCAGTAAATACACTCTAATGAGTTAATGGATTACAATTAAATTATATTACTTTTCCGAACTGCATGCCTACGCAATTTAAAATAAAGACATTTTAAATGATTAGACGCGAAATGATAAAATGTTATTAAATAGATTAAAGTGGCATCGACAGAATTTCAATAAATATATTCCAAGAATGATAAAATTTATTTATATCAAATGGCAGGCGATTTGATGGTTATTATTAGCCCTTTAGTTGACTTCAGGCTTCACAGATGGGAAGGAACATCAAAGTGAAAAAGGTCGAGATGGGGGGGGGGACAGAAGAGTGTTTCAAAGATGTAAAAGAGAGTGACACAAAGGTAGAAAAAAGGTGAGGTGAATACTGTGGATTAAGTCGAATATGACATACAGTGGGGTCATGGTAGTTTGAAGTGATAAGTCAACTGCCGGTTAATAGACTTTTGGCCGTTGGAGTATACGTTGCCCAGGGTGCACTACGTGGAGGTAAGTCTATCGCACACCCCAGAATGATAAAATAAGTTCTCAAATTTTATCTATTAGGAAGTTATTATAACTGTTACGTGGAAAGATGGGTTCTTTTTACAGAGACTAAGAAATAGTATTCAAAATGTCCTTTCTAATGAAAAGAGAAATACTTAGATACTATAAAAGGTGATATTCGCAATGGCCTAACAATTTAAAAAAAGTTTTCAGTCTGCAAAAGGATGGCTGAACTGGGGAGATTAGTTCATTGGGAAATGTGGAAATTGTTCAAAAAGTCGTCTTCACTATGATTTTTTATTTGTTTTTTTTCTCGGATTCAGGTTTTAGAATACTGACTTAGATAGTAAGTCACTGCTTTGCGTTATGAAGATATGAACGCCACTATTTGTCCCCTTGAATGTTGGCTAAGTTCTTACACCTCAGTAAACTCAACCTATTAACTGATAGTTTATTTCTGATGATTGGTCTTCCAAAGTCTGAGAAAGTAGAGCGGTAGTAGCAGATCACGTTGAACCAAATTCATAAACATCGTTTCAGAGCTGTATGACACCCGAGAGCAGTATAGGATCGGTTTAATATTTGAATTTTAAACTCCACATCGCATATCCTTATATAGCGTTTCAGTACATTAATGGACAATTCGATTTATTTTAGGGTAACAACTTTGAAGCAGGTTAAAAGTAGTGCCTTTCAAATGCGATTGAGGCAGAAGAAGGACTCTTCGAAGCGTAGATCCAATAGAATTGAAGGCCTTCAATCATCCTTATCGCACTATGAGCTCACTGGCGGAGGAAAACAGAACTCGGATTACAGAAAGCAACCCAAATCACGCAGCCAGGAGAGGCCACGCTCCGAAGGTAGTCAAATTTTCTTTCTTCTTCCTTAATACCATTATTAATAACTCACNGTCGAAGGTCACCCAATGAACGAAATGACCTACAAAGACTGGCCACTACTAATAGAGCGCCAAAATTCAGATCTCCTGCCAGACGGTTTTGACAACGCTATTTTTCACCAAAATACATTGTCATAAAATATTTTTCCAAATTGTGTTGAGAGGTAACACCAATTTTTGGTGTCTAGATTTATATTAGAATGGAAGTTGAAAAGTGATAACTTATTAAAAAAGATTAACAGCCACCCACTACTTAATTCAATCTTTGTATCTTTTTTTAATAAAAACACTTAAAATGGGTGATAAATTTCACTTAAAATCTTAAACACTGAATTCAACACAATTTTCGACGATGTACCAGTGAGTGCATTCCAGTTGGTAGGACTTGATCTCTGTCAATATAAAATGTTGCACTTTTAAGCAATAAGGAAATTTATTTATTTATTTATATCAAATGGCAGGCGTTTTGATAGCTACCATTAGCCCAATAGTTGACTTCAGGCTTCACAGAGGGGAAGGAACATCAAAGTGAAAAAGGTCGAGATGAGGGGGACAGAAGAGTGTTTCAAAGATGTAAAAGAGACAGGCACAAAGTTGGAAAAAAAAGATGAGGTGAGTACGGTTGAATTAGTCGAATTTTACATACAGTGGGGTGATGGTAGTTTGGAGTCTGAAATCAACTGCCGGTTAATAGACCTTTTTGCTGTATAAGTATACGTTGCCCAGGGTGCACCACGTGGAGGTAAGTCTATCGCACACCCCAATAAGGAAATAAATTATGACAATTTCTTATTAATAGGACTTTTAAATTATTCAGGACGTGTTTTTGGATCATTATACGTTTTCTAAGAAAACCTCCCAATGGCCTATAGAAATTAATCAGGGTCAAAGGAGGGAAATAAGGTTTGGACACACTTTTGGTCATCCCTTGAATTCTATTTGACAAAACTCCCATCTGCTATCACCAAACACTTCATCAACTAAAATGAATGATTTTCGAAATGGAAACTGCAATGGTTTTAAATGCACAGACATAACGAATCTAGTTATTTATTTTATACTTTTCCAAAATGACATTATTCAATTTTATTCAAACAAGTTTTCCCATTCTAACAGCAATGTTTACACAAGGACATCAATTTAAAATTTAAACGTTTTTCCCCCATGGAATGGAAAAAATTTCAAAATATTCGGAAGAGCTGTAACTTTTGTTCAATTTTGACTTTAAAGGTTTCATTATTTCGAGCAATTTTGCTGAATTGCTTTTAAAGTTACCTTATAGTTATTAATAGTATTGCTCACGATAACACCTTATGAATCAATATGCGACGGATTAAATCCTTTCTTTGGACAAATTATACATATATGTGCACATGTGCATTTGTTTCTTTTTTTGCGAGTTCTAAAAATACACAAACTCTCTCCCTCTCTCTCCCTCTTTTATCTGATAGCTACATCCCTTTCTTACTGTTGATATATTTTTGACGTTTCACTTACTCCCACGGCATTCAAGTGCTCCTCGTATTATATCAAAAGCTTATATGCTTGCTTGTAAAAATAGCATTTGGTTAATGTGCATGATTTTAGACTTTTTTTGCTCAGTTAGAAAATTCTAGTATGTCAGTGAGATTTAGCTTTGTTCTAGGAACATGATTAAGGCTCACTAAGAGATGATGAATGGGTAGTCATGCGTTGAGGTAGAAGTCAAAGCACGAACCCTACTGTGGTTCCAATTTACATGAAGTTACATTCATGAGGTTGATCGAGTTCTTTTTTTAATTTTTGCCTACAGCTAGTAGTTTCATTGTTATTGTCTGCGGCTCAGTAGTAAAAGATATTTACTTTTATTAATCATGGAAATGAACCTGAATAGAAGGCATGAGGGAAGGAAGGGTTTAGAAGTTCTGGCATTCCCCCCTCCCCCCCCCCCCCCCCCCCCCCAACTGGCTCTTAAGTGACATGACACATTTTGACTTGTCGTAATATTCAGTCTTCATCAGCAAATTCCGAGGTTTGATAAGCAAGCGTATGTCCACTGTATGCTTTGTCCGTGGACCGCTTGATTTGATGAAATGATTGTCTACGTCACGTGATTTATTTGCAGTATTCTATGGGTTAGAATGGGTAGTTGAGACCAGTGATAATGTATCCTTATATATATTCCCTAGATTTACACGATTATTTCATTTATTTGACTTTAGTAACTGCGTGAACATTTTTGCTAAAACGAGGAGTAGATAGTTTCATCCTGATGATAGTAATCTTGATAAAAAAATTAAAAAATAATATTTTGGGACTTAATAAATAACATCAGAGCAACACAATTTACAAGCTACGATTGGTGAATGATATCTAATCTGTAAAGACTGGCACATTGATTTATAAGTTAGTCTATTCTTCTATTAGAAAAGATTGAAATTATACTTTTTTAAATATTGCAAAATATGACATATCCACTGACATCAACAATTTCGATTTCCACAATCCCAGCGGAATTCAAATTTTGACACTTGCTAAGTAAAGACATTTCAATCAGTCCAACTCAAGATATGTGAAAGTTGCATTTAAATTAGGTTAAATTGCAGACTTGAGCTTTATTAAGACCAAAATGTTGGTCAAGTATTTTTAAACACATTCTTTGAAAGACAATAAAGAATTACCTCTTAGCCCACTCATGTTACTGCGCCAGCGTTCATACTCATCTTCCAATGCCTGCTTACTCAAATGCCTGAAGCAATTTAAACAAATCAAATAATAAGTCAAAGATGAAATTTACTAATGTTAACTCATTGAGTAAGGGTGAATTTGATCAGTTTATACTTAACTATTCTCTGCTTCAATCACACCGCATGTCCTGTTGCGATTAGAGTACAAACTACGAGTTTTTTGAAAGAAAATCAATTTTAAGTGAAGATAAATGGAGTGCGCATGCAGCTATTTTAACACAAAATATTTACAAAAAAACACTTCTAACCAGGGGAAAGTGAATGACTAGAAGGTAAAAATATCTGAAGTAGACGGAGCAAGTGTGCCCTACTTTTCACCGACTTCTCTCTAGCTCATTGCAGCAGAGGTGAGAATTCTTCTCTCCCGCAGTCGATGCTCCTATATGCTTTCAGTCAAGGGCGCTGTTTTATGAAAAGGCGCTTTTTTAGCAGACCTCAAGATATGTTCGCTTCTTTCAAACTATATATATATATATATATATATATATATATATATATAGTGCGTAAATAGTGCGTACTTATGTAGGTAGACACCGTTAGCGCATTGGTTTGTTAAAAGAGGTTGATTTGTAGAGATTTCAGTTGGTCTACATTTTGCGCTTTGATATTCGTTCTCTCGATAACTTATCTTCAGCTGTATAATGTTTTATTGTCCAAATTTAAATGACCTAGTGGAAATATAATAAAAAAATAAAATAGAGAGCAAAACGGAATCACAATATTTAATTAAAAATGCATTTCTAACAATATTATTGTTATTAATTATGAAAAAATGAACAAAGTACGGAAGAAATATCAATTTGCGATCGATAACATGGCATTTACAATGTTGTACAAAGATAATTAGTACAAGGTTAAAAATATATCAGACTGTAATAACAATGAAATAAAATGATGATAAAGTAACAAACTCTAATAAATCACGCAAATGAATGTTAATTTTTTGCTTTTATATAATTTGAAACAAATTATGGTTGAGTCTAAATAAATTAAAATTATAGAAAGAAGTGAATGAAACTGTTAGCTAAATAAGGCCGATTTGAGGAAAAATTAGAAAGCTTTAAGTAAGTTTTCAAATAACTTCATATTTAAAATGTACATTGGATAAAAATCTTAGTTAAAATGTCGAAGCTTTGTTGCAAACGACTTTTGTTTAAATTTACTGTCCGAGTATGTTTGCAACAAATTCAAATTTAGCACTGTCCAAAAAAATTTAGTCAACTCTTTTTACAGAGGAAAGGCAGTCATTTTTAGACTAGTTGCAGTGGATATTCGCATAAGCTTTGTACAATTAAAGGAAAACATTTTAAAATATTCTTGAAAATGCGAAATCAAATTACAAAGCTCTTTTCGCGATTAAAATTTGTATAATTTTCTTCAGAGTTTACTTCTTTGCAAAAGATTTCCTGGTTGGCTTTTGGTTTGACTTTTGTTGAAAAATAACCAAAGCTGTTGCATTAAGGATTCATGTAAACAATATGATTTTAAAGGAATGATCTAATTTATTCAGCATTGCTCTATCAATCGTCATTCCTTATTGATGCACTTGAATTGCTGTCTATTCAGGAAAATTTTCGCCCTCCTCCGAGCGTGTAATCTTGTTACCGATCGACGTGTTGATGAACTAAGTAAACAACCAATTTTTTATTTCAAAGCTGCTTTTAAGCAATTCTAACATCATATTTTGAGGGGCCTATATGGTTTGGAAGAGTTATTAAAGCTACTGATCAGTGATATAGCCTATTAAGAATCGAGATTGACTTAAATTTTGGCAGTTAATCTTGAATTTTTCTAAATATGGCAATAAATGTTCAATCTGAGCATAAATTGTGAAACGATTTAACTTGGAAGAATGGACTCCTCATTCACCTGTTTTGCAATGAGATTGTTCAAATTCAATTTTACATGTAAATTGAATTAGAAAATTCGTTATTTCCGCTAATCCAGATTCATAAGAGGGCTTAGTTTAGGCAGGCTATAGACCATTTATTTACATCAATATTTCCATAACGTTGAAATGAAGTTCAATGTTGCATGAAAATAGTTAAATTAAATGTCATTTTACAAGCACTTTTCGCCATATATGAAGATGAATGAATGCGCACCAATGTTTTAAAGTTGAAATTTCTATTTCGTGTTAAAAGCCACAGCATGCTATATATTATTTAATTTCAAAATTATAATATGTGACGGGAAAGGTGATATCAATGCACTATTTTTCATGAGTCATTGGGAAAATTTTTTTTCGTATATGCAACTTTTTTCTCATTCGCTAGCTTAAATAACTTTTCCACCACCAAAAAAATCATTTTTTAACTGACCCTTCTTCAAACCGACGGACAAAAAAGTTATAGCATGTTGATATATAAATTTCAGTGGATCAAACTTGACTATTCGAATTGTGATTGTTGCAAAATTGTAATTTTAATCCTTGAAGAGAGTTTCAGTCGGGGGGGGGGGGGGGGGGGGGGGGGGGGAANGGGGGGGGGGGGGGAGTGGGGGGTGGGGTAAACATTGAAGTGATAATTAGTAGGGATCATGGTTAGTCAATGATGGACGCTTGTCATATTGAAAGTTTTAAAATGTAAATTTCGGTTTACTTGGAGCAATAGCTGTGGCTTAAAAACTAGGCCCAATTCTGATTGTTGCATGCAATTAACAAGATTGTAGGGAGGCAAATTACTTTCAAATATGGAAATCAATTTCAAGAGGATTTTGTCTCAGTTGGCGACTAGTATCATCTTTCAGTCAGGCTCATTGGGGTGTATTTCAACTACTTTTCAACTAATTCATGTAAAATTTAGCTGTCTTTTGATTAATATAGAAAATTATCCTTATCAATCCTGTTTTTAAATCTGAGGGGGCGGAGTGGAGGGGGGGGGGGAGGATTTAAAGGATGAATAATTGACCGAACGAAATTTCACCTAGTAGCCAAATGACGATTTAAACAATAATTTATTGTTAAATCCCAAGATTATTTTAACTAGCAGAAGCGAATCGAGCAATTGTTTAACCTAATTTTGCTTAGGTAGGATTGATAATTCATTAAAGTATCCTGACAATCGATTTATTTATTAATCATAACGAAATTTTGGAGTGACCTTCACTGTGACACTTGTTTTGCGAGAACTAAAATCAATGGCCTTCACATCTGTCTGTAATTGAAGCACCAAGCCAATCCCAGGCTCATCAAATATGCCATTGTATAATTAGAATCGACCTGATTACCGCGTTTAATTACAATTTCGGTAGACCGCCCTTATTGATGATCTAATATGGAATCGAATTTTAATAAGAGCACTGCTTTCTTCCTCACGAACAACTCAATTATATCTAGACGTTAGCATTTTTAGCGGGAAAATTAGGGCATTTTCTCTAAAAACTGCTTAGGCAAACTTGATTAAATTTGTATTCCTTAGGATTCCAAACGGGAAAGAAGATGATATTGTAAAACGGGAACATTTAAGCAAACATTAATGAAGGAGATCTCAGGTGATATCGACTAAAGGCAGATTCACAGTTTATGTCATTATTGCGTTGATAAAATTTGTATTCTGGATTTCCTTCCTTTTATTTTTCAGGTTTCGGTGATGCTGACCCAGCTGGTTTTCCTTTGACGGTGTCAACGAAAACGGCCGAAACCGAGACGGTGAAGGTGGAATGTGGTGGAGGTCGGGCGGCCGAGGACAGCGGTATATCTTGTCGTTCTGGAAACACTTGGCGATCACGAGGTTCTTCCGCTGCACGTTCTGCTGTTCCCGCTGGAACTGTTGATTCCTTCGGTGCCATTGAATCCTACAAGAAATTGGAAGTTCTGGGTGAAGGTTCCTATGCAACGGTGTATCGCGGATTTTCCCAGTAATTTTAATTTCTACACTGCATAAACTACCATTATTATTACAGCCGATACAGCAGAATTCTCTTATCAGCTCTACTCATAAAGGAGTATTTGATAATTAAAGAGTAATTAACAGGCCCAATATGACAAGTAACACAAGTTGGTGCATTTTATAAGTGGCTAACGGAGCAGGGACTCCGGAGTCTGAAAGGGATTTGAACCCAGTATCTCTAGTTTGCCATCATGCTTGAAATAAGAAGAGTCGAGTGCGTGAGTCTCAATTTTCAACATTTCAGCCCGCCCCCACCTCCCATTAATGAATTAGGTATTGAATTATGTATTGATAGCCGGTGGCCAATTACGTAATTTTGCATGGAATATTAATGGAAGTGCGCATTCGAACGAAGTTGAACAAGATGAAGACCCCTCTTTTCTGAATTAACTCCGTTAGTCAAGTCAATCGAATTCTTTAAAAAGTTGAGTTGTCATGGCCTCCTCATTAAAATCATTCAATTAACCACGCGTAAATATTATAACTTTACCCAGTAGTGCAAAAACACTTTTTAACTCTTAATGTTGAAGAAAAAATGAAATTGGTAAATAAATGGTATAAAAATGGTGTGACCAACGCCAAGGTGAAGAAAAAACTCATTTTATCCGACATTTAGCCTACGGGCTTTGCATATTTAGCCAACTCAGAACGATCATGCGATAAAAAGTACCTTTTGTTTTAAATTTATTCTAGAAGTTCAAAATCGTAATGAATCCACTTAAAATTGTATATCGATTCTGATCTAACTTGAAACTGAAATGTCTGGTATTTAGACATAGTGCACTTAAGCATTGGCAAATAACGTTTCAGCCATTTGTTTTAAACCGATCATCCACATCGGTGTCTAATAAGTTATTTAGGAAAAAAAATTTACACGGAGTAGTTCAACTTAAACTATTCACATGTTAACATATTTCAGTAGATTTAATTTTAACTCGTAGAAAGTTAAATAATTTTATTTGATTTCTTAGAAAAAATTTTATCACTCTTTATAGTAGAAATTTCCGTGTATGCCCGTATGAGGAGAGGCTTAAAATTGTAATTGCAAAATCATGGATTTCATAAATCTATCTCAAGAATATAAAGGCTTTAATATATACTATTCGAATTGGAATATCACAGAAAAATGGACATGAATTGTGAGCAATGATTTTCTTTGACAAGACGTTAGATTTTTTCGTTAGAGACTTCTATTGACCTTCATAGAATGCTGTTTGCGGATTCCATTTCAGTGAAATTCCCAATTGGTGGACTTGTAAAAGATCTGAATAATAGAAAAAAATACTCTGTTTTGAACAAAACAAATACAGATGCTTAGTGCCGACAGAAGATGGTGATTCGTTGTTACACCAACCACGACTTCCAAATAAGGTATATTGACTACTTACATTTGCCAGGCAGAAATGACCTTGGGGAAAAAGAAGTGAACTTTTGGTGAAAATGCACCTATTGACGTGTGTCTTACTTTCGAGTTCTTCATTACATCAGTGTGTTCCAACTCATAAACACCAATATCCATCGATCCAAGCTTCCCACAACTTTCCACTTTCACTTCCTTTGCAATATTTAGAAGGGAGTTTGATATCCCTCGATTTAAAATATTGGAAATGCAACCAGGATTTTTGAAGCCATTCCAAATGTATTAAATTGTGTGTGCAGGAACTAAAACTCTAGGAAAGATTGAAAGAAAGTGTAATTTTAAATTTGCGTCTATTACATTTTAACAGTATTAAAAGGATCTTTTTTAAAAATAAAAATAGTCATTATTTTTTCATCTGTAATGAACCTACTAATTAACCAAAATAATATTTTGAACTTTCTGTTTGCTAATAATTTTTAGGTTGTTTAGAATTAAAAAAACTAAAATTATTCTTGGAGTATCTTGAGTACTTATCTTAAATTTAAATGCCGTTTATTCGATAATTAATTAATGTATAATTGTGTTTGCTAATTAAATTCTGTTGTGTGCTTTGCATACACATTAGACTAATTCATCATCCTGCTTATATTTTGGACATTTAAACAGCGGAAATAGGAGTATGGGGCGAATCCTGAGAATTGGACGGAGGAAGACTAAAACATGAAGAACTCCACTTCACCGATGCACCAAAATAATACCGATAACCTTATATCAATTTATACTTCAACTGAATTTAAGCAATTAAGTGCGTTTTAAATTTAGATCCTTTCTAATAGTAAAAAAGCATAGCAATACTGGACGCAGTTCCCGAGTAACAATAGGGCATTTTTATTATTGGTAAAATACTGGTATCGAAATCAGTATTGCACTGGCAATATTTCGTGATGGGCCTAATTTTAGCAATTTTATATGAAAGTAAAATGCACCAATTAGTTAAACGTCTCGTTGTTTATTACATTTTAGCCTCACAAATCGGGTAGTCGCTGTAAAAGAAATTCGAATTAATCAGGAGGAAGGATTGCCGTTCACCGCCATTCGAGAAGGTATGGCGTGCTTTTTTGTCGGCCAAAACAAGAGGAAACTAAGCGTTTAAATGTGTGCCATTATACAGACCAGATTTCTCAAAACATTTTGGAAATTGAGTCAATGTTATTTTGTGTTTAGTGATTATAGAACCGGATCACTTTTAGGAATAACCTTTCTTTGTTCCTGAAAAATCCGTCATAAGGATGGCAGCTGATGACTACAATTAGAAAATGATTTATGAGTTTTTTTTAAAAATTATTCTGTTTTTTTTGCCTTTTAGTCACTCAGCACAAAAGTGCACATTGTGGAAATAGGTGACACCCATTGAAAAATAAGATACTGAAGGTGTAAACTAGCAATTAGGCAGCGTCTCTAGAATACCTTATAGATATCATATTTGAGGCAGGACACAATAGCATTAGAGGGAAGGAGGTAATGATTTCGAAGAACAACCGAAATAGAATGATTAAACCGCTTGAATTGGCAGATGAAACAAAAAAACATAAACATTCATCGGAAAATGCTATCTAAATGATTTTATTTGTCCAGCTTTAAATTGTGGTTCAAACAAAAATACTATTAGAGGAATGGAAAATAACTAGACACTAGTCTGAGGGATAATTTTCTTCGTAAGTCTAAGCCCATAGGGGTGGGGGGGGGGTTGTATTTACGGGGGATTTTCTACCATTCATGTTAACTGTCACATTTGCTTTTGCCTTGTAGCATCACTTTTGAAATCCCTTCGTCACGCAAATATAGTGACACTTCACGATATTGTCCACACAAAATTAACACTCAATTTTGTCTTCGAATATGTGGTACGTTCTTTATCGTTCTCCATCGTTATATTGGTTTTTTTGTCTTTGTTATTATTTTGTGGATGGGCTAAATGCCTAATATACCCAATTGACAGCTAATTAAAATAATTATTTATATATAATCTAATAAAGGATACCCGAGGGGCTTATTTAAGTTGAGGGAAGATATAATGGAAACAGTCATTGCCTCGTTAAAACATATATATATATATATTTATTTATTTACATAAAGGTCAGTTTTGTATTTCAAAATCATAACAGAATTCATCATTGACGTAAATTAAAACATCAAAAATTCCAAAAAAAGATAGTACCATTACAGTAGCAAGCAATGGGATGAAACTATGGTCCCAAAATGAATAAAATTTAATTAAAAAATAGCCAATTGTATGCTTAATGTTTCCAAGTAATTACTTGCTGCGATATATAATCCATACATAGGGTTTTCTCTAGGTAATTAATAGAAATGGATGACATTTAAGTAACGTGCCAATTTGTAACCATTGGTTATTTCTTTTTTAATAATAATCATCTTGTCACCTTTTCCTGTTTTGAAAGGCAACAGCCCCATCAACCTCGACTGATTCTTCTCCTTGATAAAACAAGTCACATTCCCCCTTTTCCTTTTTGGTATTCGTGGTTCGAATAAGAAATTTTCTATTTACGCATCTTTTGTCGTATTGCCTACTATAATTATTAATTTACAGTGGGAATGTCATAATTAATTAATATGCCAAATTTGATCCATATATCAGAGAGTGTTGCATTGTTCCTTCGGTTCTTGAAAAAAATAACATATAAAGTAGTATACCGATTTGCTATATAGTCCCTTTTTCATTCCCTTAAATTCATCTATGGAACGTCGACTTCTGGCCGACGTCAAAGATATTAAAATAATTTGAAATTTGCTTTTCAATTAATCTCTTTTTAAAGACAAGTGAAATGTGCAAAGTAACTGCAAATTATTTAAACGTAACTGTTAAACCAAGTTCAAATAACCTCAATCCAACCATTTTAGGATTCAGACTTGAGTCGGTTAATGGAGAAAAATCCTAAAGGTCTGAAATCTCAAAACGTACAAGTAAGTTGAAATTTTGAACCTTTTTATTGTTATTATTTTACCTATTGATGGTAGTGATGGTAAAATTACTGCATTCAGTAACAATACCGTTGCCTATTTCGAATTTTCTGAATTTGCTTGCAATTTCCCTGCAAGTTAGTAATAAATTTATTTATTTTAATTGCCCCTCATTTCATCCTCTTTTTGTAACAAAGATGATTTAGATTGCGCTCTTCATACTAACTTTGATGGTATTCTTTGGAGGAATTTCTAAGAACTTCGTTACGCACGCGACAAAATGAGGCTGATCTGACTTCCAGATAACGTGGACTGGGAGTATTTTTTGACACTCTTTGCTAATTAATTATTCTCTGATAAGCGAGGACACTTTTTTCAAGCATAAAATAATAACTAACATCTAAGGGTACTTGATATTCGAATTTATTAGTTGAGATATATACTTGCTAAGTGAATTACCACTTGCATTTGTTATCATTTATAAATGGACGAAAAGAAGTATTAGCTGGCATCTAAATCAGTTTTGAAACCCATATGGAGAGTTCTTAACTAAAGCGAATGAAATATAAATATTTACAAGCTTTAAGTTTTCAGTTAGATAAAAAAGGTCAGGTAAATCCATTAAAACCTCGAACTCAAGACAACTTTTTATTGTTTCGAGGAAATGAGCAGAAAATATATTCCTTCGTTGGTAAATATAGGCTGGCATCGATACGATTCACCATTTTCTATCAAGCATCTATTCGTACAACCTCTTACCGTCCAGTTGACGATAATTGATACGCTAGATAGACATGTTGAAATGGGTCAATAGTCTGAAGTTTCTGGAGTGGTCTTTTGAGTTGATAAAATTTTTACATCCTGCAGGGAGGACAAATTGAATAGTCTGATTGCACTCAAGAGAAATTGAGTTTGCACATACATTACTAGATATGCAGGTCCACCTGGGAGACGCCGTCGAGGCTATGATTGGCTAAGCAAATGGCCAATAATTTTCCGCCTATTTCAAGTCAATAAAAGTTAATCTATTTTGTTAAAGAAGAGGAACGTTTGAGCTCTTAGTTTTTTTATTTTCATCTTCCCTGAATCTGAGTAGCTTTGGTTCTAGTAAAGGACAACTGGGGAAGCTATAAAATGTTCTATTTTAGGTTTAGGATATAGAGTGACCTCGTTTACGGTGACCCCTCTGCGAATTTAGTTGAAACAGACCACCCAAAACACTTTCCTATTTGTATCTACCTTAATTAGCCCCACCCGGGCGCCCTCTGGCCATCCGATATGTGGTAAATAGGCCTGATGGGGTGTAACTGTTCCAAGTTTTCAGTTATGCAATGTAATACTCATAATATCTTGGAAACGATGGAATCAATTATCAAATAATACCCCCCTCCCCGCATTTTTCAGCGCACCACACTATTAGCTTCTTCAATACTTTTCAATTTCAATTTCCAAAAAAACTCACAAAAATAGTTCTATAAGATGACAAACATCGCAAAAGCATAGTCAATGGCAATTTATTGCTAAGAATATTTATTAAATTCATATTTTTTGTTCATGTTTTCATTAGGGAATTATCGATGGGGCTTGAATAGGGCAATTTGTGCATTTCACGCATGAATCGTTGCACCACTTTAACTCTGATAGAATTTGCGAATAAATATGGAAACATTATTGCTTTGATAAGAATGAATGGCGTCGCATTAATTAAGGCTTGCGAAAAGCGTGCCACTGTGCTTAAAGTGCGGATAGGTAGTTTGTATTCATAATTACGATTAAATATATTTTTTTTTCTTTTTAATAACAAAAAAATACACACAAGCGAATAATTACATGAAGAGATTTTGCAATATTCCAAAAATAAATTTTCATACCATCTCTCCCTCCCATAGTTTCAGCCGATAGTCGATGGCTTCAAGATAATTAGGAAATCATTCACTCCTGGAGCCTGTTATTCCCAGCTTTCATTTCAATTACAATTCTGTATAAAATGATGAATTCTATTAAATATACAGCCCCGTTAGTAGGCACAGATTTAGTAAGTATCAATGCGTTAATAGATCTGATGGTGAATAAAACTCAATTGCAGTTGAGATTCAGTTATTGTATGCACAAAAACCAGATCCATAGATCAAGCCAATGAATAGAATTATAGACGCAATGGGCTTGACAGTAGAATTCTTCAACATTTATTTATTATATCAAATGGCAGGCGTTTTGATAGTTATCATTAGCCCTTTAATTGACTTCAGGCTTCAAAGAGGGGAAGGAACATCAAAGTGAAAAAGTCGAGAGAGCGGGGGAGGGGACAGAAGAGTGTTTCAAAGACGAAGGTAGAAAAGGTAGAAAAAAAGGTGAGGTGAGTGCTGTGGAAGTAGTCGAATATGAATTACAGTGGGGTTAATAGACTTTTTGTCGTATAAGTATACGTTGCCCAGGGTGCCCCACTTGGAGGTAAATTTATCGCACACCTCGAATTCTTCAACATGCACGTATGTCGAGTCAGAGTTAACAAAACTACTGATCACCGATCCACATTCACTGGTGGTTGAAATTGAATTACTCACGAAAGCGATCCCAGAACACCTGCTCTCCAACTAAATCAAATTTCATGTTCACCTTTCTACCAAATGGGTTTGTGGCTTATAACGTATTTAATTAAAAATGTCATATTGCGGCTAATATATAAACTCTTTGGATTTGAGTAGTGAGTGATTGATCTGTCTTACTAAACACTTAAATATTGACTGTCATTACTGTCTAAAAAGTGGTGTTTTCCTAGTGATTTAGGCATTGAAGTTAGGCCATCACATGTAGCCATTCTTTATTGCATAACAAGTATGCAGAATTCCATATAATAAAAAATAATTTTAAAAAGAAGCGCTTCCTTTCCAGTTGCTTCTTTATCAACTTCTTCGTGGCTTGGCTTACTGCCACGACAGACGGATATTGCATCGCGATTTAAAGCCCCAAAATATTCTCGTTGCTGCCAATGGAGAGCTGAAGTTGGCAGACTTTGGTCTAGCAAGAGCCAAGTCAGTTCCAAGTCACACGTATAGTCATGAGGTGGTCACATTGTGGTATCGTCCTCCCGATGTTCTCCTGGGTTCTACAAATTATACAGCGTCGTTGGATATATGGTAAGATTGCAAAATAATCATGATTAGCTCTCATTCCTTAAGTTGCATATCAATTTAACATATTTACTAGCAAATCAGGATTTGATGAGCTTCCTTTTCAACTCCTTCTTTTCGTGCCGCGCTACACCATGAAGGTCTCGTTATGCTCTCCTGTTGCATTTATACCTCTAATTATTTTAAAGCTAACAATATTAATTAGAATAATAACATTCTCGTTGCATCTCCAGTGAATTCGTAACTATAGGCTCCCCCCCCCCCCCAATTTAATTGATTCATTATTGATTACTTTCATTGAACTTTCCTTAGCTCATGAAGTATCTCTTGCATTTTTTATTAGCTTCGTTAAATGTTGCTTAATTTATTTACTTCCCAGTATGTCTCAGTGACTTATTATAATCTGCTTAACCTCACCTCGTGCCCAGATATACTGCTTTTTTGTAATTTTATTTCACAAAGTTGTTTATCTACGCAAAATGTTTTTTGTTCCTTGTAATTTATTCGATAGTAAAAAGGTAGATTGTAGATTTATAGGTAGACCGAAATTTTGTAATACATTTTATGATCCAAAATTCAACTCTTAAATATATATATTTATTAACTAATAACTTTTCTTTTCTTTTAAATGTGTTTCCAATTTTATAAACTCGGATATTGGGAAAGTGCCTTAATTTTTCATCAGAATTTAATTTTACATCACACTGATGAACTAACATTGTTGACATAAATTTTTGTAGAATAACTTGTTTAGCCATTTAAACTCAGGTAGAGTGTGTAGCTCATCAATTTTGAAACGGTTGGATGCACTTAAGGATTGATACCATAAAACAGTGGCATTGGAGCAACACGTATTTAAACAAAGACAATAAATTCCAACTAACGCCAAATGTAACTAACGCTGCAGTTTTGATAAGACTGCAAAGCCCAAACATATTTCGTTGCGTAGTTCCATTCATGTAAGAATTTGATAGGTTGAGTTGAAGAGGATATTGTATTAAAATGTATCCTGGAGAGCATAATGGTCAATCTTCTTGCAGAGCCGAAATTGAAAATCTGACGCTTTTGCAAAAGGCCTTGTTGTATACACACTCCAATCTGTTAAGCATACCGTTAAGGAGGGGGGGGGGGGGGGAGGTGGGGTAGAAGGGGGGAGGTTAATTTTCAGTTTATATTACTTTGATTACTATTTGGTTTTCTATTATTTTAAGATCGTTCATTAATCGATTTAGCTACACATGGAAACTCATAACCATGAACCATTATTAGATTCAAATTTTGACACTATTGTCTTTTGAAGCCATAATAATAATAATAATAATAATAATAATAGTTCTTTGTGGTCCTAATTAACCAGCATTAAATATAACTTAGTATAAATTTTTCATTTAGTTGATAATAACTCTAAAGAGGCATTAGTGCATGAAAATGGGAGAAATTATAATTATATAAAATAATATAATATAGCACTCACTGTCAGCTAAAGGGCTAATGAAAATTATCAAAACGCCTGTCATTTGAAATAAATAAATAAGTAATAGCAGTATGAAAGCAAAATCTTCTTCGTTGAAGCTTGACTGTGGTCAATTTTTTTTCGAATATGTTTAATTGAACATACCGGTAATACTTTTTTCCATTGTTTTGGTCAATCGGGATTTCTTTGCAAATCACACAAATAATTTCCCACTTTCAGACTTGTTATTCTCAATGATTGTCGACACACCTTTTTGAGTAATCTACACATAAACTCAACCTTATACCACTAGCTTTATATTTGATTTGTTGCTCAGATTTTTAATGACAATTTGTTTGCCTATTCATCATACCAATGCTTCTAATTCATTTTTTACTCATTTAAACATTAGATATGGAGTGGACAAAACATTGAGTAGATTTGGTCTCATGTCTGTATTATGCGTGTTTGAAAATTTGTTTTATTTTCCAGCGAATTGCGAAGTTTAATGCCTAAAAAGGTATAGTGCATGTTTTAATGTAAAGCCATTTAACTTTGCCGTGGGAATCAACTTGCCTAGACGCCAATCGGGAATGAAATCTCCTCAATACACCAATCTGTGTTGAAACCTCAAGGTCAAATTATGTCTGCGTCTGAAAAAAAACTGAACACCTGTGGATAGCTTGATTTGAAACTGAGATTCCTCGTGATTTGTTTAATCAAAGTACCGCCATTAGCAATTACTAACTTTCTAATTATGAAAATTGGAAATAACGACAAAATCGATCGGGAATACATTATTTAAATTCTGTTTTTTCCTCGTGATAGGAACCTTGAGCGTTTACTTCTTAGATATCAGTTGTTATAAACTATGCAAAATTGAAAAGATGTTATTGCAAATGATTTTATTTCTGCAATTCGCCAATATAATTCGAACCAAGAAATGCAGGGAATTCAGGATTTATGTAATAGAATGTCCTCAGTTTGAACACAGACACTCTAAATATGACCCTTTTCCTATAAACGGCACCGTTATAAATAGAGGTATTATGACCAAATCATTTGGATTGGTTTCCGTGCAGGACCCTGAAAGAAAAGAGAACTGTGCGAGTTGGAGCTCACTAGTTTTAATGCTCATCGGTCCACATTCATTGCTATGGATAGCAAATAGAACTTAACAATATTGATTCAAAAGGGGGGTTGACAGAATTTGAGTTTGTTTCGATAACAAACGTTAAGAATTGTTAATACTCTTCTTTGAGGAATAGTCAATAAACTTGATCACTTTGCCCCTGACAACCAGAGCAGGCCTAGAATTGCGTAACGTAATTTAATGGAAGCGATTAATGAAAGAAGATCCATCCACCTTTACAGAATCTTGCTCACTTCTAAAAATGGGCAATTTTGTTTGCATTAAGGATTTTGGTCCTTTCGACACCCACCATACCTTCGTCAGTGCAGATGAACACAAAATTAGCAATGTCACGCAGTGCTGTCTCCTATCACTGATCATTAAAATGATCCAAAGTGTTTATCAACGTCAATTACGTTAGATAAAATCAGATCGAACTAACTAGGACATCATCTAAAGCTTATGCAACTGCAATTTTGTTAATTATCAAGTTAAAAGTTTTAATATTATTATTATTCTATCTATTTTTTTTTCAACACTTTCGTGATTATAATTTAATCATTTTCTCCTCCAGGGGTGTCGGCTGCATTTTTCTGGAAATGCTCTCAGGCGATGCAACTTTTCCGGGTGTGGCTGACGCCGTTGATCAGTTGGACAAAATCTTTCGAGTTAGTTAAGCCATTACTTAAATTATATTTGAACCATTTTAATTGTGTTTATGCCTAGAGTGCTCAAATATAAGCATAAATATTTGGCAGGAAAGTGAATAGTTTGTGGAAAAATGTCAAAGACTTAGTTTGGGCGACCTTTAAATGCCCTGCATCATGCTATCCTTTAACTTCTCCAAATTGGTCCCAGGCAACGATTAATTAAATGTGATTTTATAGTATGATTCTTTATAATATCCTATCAGTATTCCATCGTCATCCTGACTCATATTCCCTTCAATACCTGATTGGTTGTGCTCTCGGGTGTCTTGACGTCCCCTAGACGAATTGTTTTCCGAACTTGTAGTTTCACTTGAAATATGACCTAAGTATGTAGAAGGATTTAGCGGCAATTCAGCACCAGGGTAAATAAGGAGTATCAAAGCAGCATTGAAAGGAAAAATGGGGATGATATGGAATGCCGTGGTGATCGTTAATCAGAAAAAGTCCCTTTTTGTCTCTATTGGCTAATTTTCTCACCTCCTTGCCATGTGATTGACTTTCATTCTTCAGTGATTATAAATTAACCAATTAGAGCCCTTGTTTTTACAAATAAATTTTTTAATGCCACATGCTATCCGAGATTAATAATTACCTAGGCTTTAGTTTACCCATAGATCTTGCGACTGTAAGAAGCGACTCTGCTAAAATGACATTTGTATATTGAGTTCACATAGTTCACGTAGACAAAATAATTATTAAGGTCTAGATGTGACCATTGTTTTAATGATTTCCAATTCTTTGTTCACACACACATCCCCACATCATTGGGCAGAATATGGCCGTATGAAATTCTGTATATATTTTTTATTCTGGTTTTATTCTCCCCCCCAATTAAAAATCTTAAAATTTTCTAGTACTTTGAGAACTGGAAAAATGGTAAAGAAAACACTAATTTTATTCCGTTTTTAACCGGAGGAATTTCACAGTTATTTCCAAACAAATACCGGTTTTTATCTTACCGGTTTAAAAATTTATTTGCCTCTTTCATAATTTATCAGGAACTTTGAATTTCAGCGATTTTTTTAAAGGGAGGTTTTCTTTTTCTCAATTGTAAAATAGCTGGACGCACGTTTCACATGTTGCTGAAGTGTTTTTACTGTGGTTATAACTTGAAGGGCCGAATTCTATACTCCCAACGGGGGTGTTTGGGAGTCATTTTGCAGGATAACATTTCGAAGTTGTTTTTGAACATGACATTTCGTTCCGACCTTTTAAATCCTTCTTTTTTCGTGCAAGTGATGACTACGGGAATGGACGGTGACTGAAATCCAACTGAATAATAGGATTTAATCCGAATGAGTTCAAATATAGGCAAAAACTAAGTGTTGGAGCACCCTAACACCGGCGTTCGTGCTTGTCGCTGCAGTCAATTGAATGCTTCTATTCCTGCATGAAGCCTACAATCAATAATGACCTACACCAGGCTACAAGCTCATGCAAGCGTCGTAGAGACCAATTGTTTTATAGATAAGCAAAGCGAAGCACAATTGAAGCACGAACTATCCGATTCTTTTTTAATGAGAAAAACTTGCCAATGTTAAAAGAGCAAACTGCAAAAAGACAGATGCTTGGCTAGTATTAAGAGCTAAGGACACTTATCTTGTCACGCAAACTAAATTTACCAAAACTGCCATAGTTTTCGGATGTGTGTCTTCCTTCGAGAATGACGTGACAACTCCTCACCCCCCCCCCCCCCCCCCCCTAGTTCTGTGCAGAAGGGCTTAAGTCGAACTCAGGTGGCAGCGTGGCAACACTAACTACTGAGACCAAGCCCCTCATAGCAAGCGAGAAGAGCAATAATAATCCATATGTGTATATCGGCAGCAATATTCGATTCCTTCCCACACCTTAATAGAAGGTCAATAATGGCTTTCAGCTAATTTTTTTACGACCAAATCCGATGATCCACTACTAGGAGTTCTGAAGAAGGGCACAAATTGCTGTGTCAGGGCACCGAAATCTAACCAACTTTAATGGACTGAATAAAAGTGGTCTTTTAGAACGTGTATGTCGAATTTCATTTTTTGGCGAAAGTGTAATTTTTCCTTACCTGCTGACTCCCTGTTTGATCTTTTAAGCGCTGTAGTTACCATGTCATTATTCATTTTCCTAATGAGATTTTCAAATTCACCTCAACCTCGTTTGTGTCAAATAGTTTCTGTGAGGACTGCTTTTCTAAGGAGAGCCCTTCAGCACGTTTGGTTAATTTGCTGATCAGTTTATTTCATAACACCACAACTACTCGGACACAAGGAATAAGAAAGAAGAAGCCTCGTAGTCCGAATCCATGGTCCTTGTAATAAGGAAATGAATCATTATCAATGAATTGGACAGTTGGCAAATGATTTTTCGCCTGGTTAGACAGTAATTGCCGCGATTATTGTTTCAGTTGTGGCCTTGAATGTCCAGCTTTGCGAGCTCAGAAGTCTAATAATCAATAATCTATTGTACGAAAGATGAGGTTTATGCAATTCACTTGAGTGTTCCGAAACACTTATGAGGATTATAACAAGCATCACACGCGGCCGACTTATTAACCAATGAGCAGTGGAATTAGGCGTGGCCTTGGCATGATGATTCATCTAATTTTAATGTTTTTGAGGGGGAGTCTTGGGATGTATAGGTATAGATAGTTGCGTAGCTGTGACTAATTAATTAAATCCAATTTAGTGAGTCAGACTTTTGCTCTAATTTCAATGCCATATGAACTATGGACCAGCAAGTGCAAGTACATCGATTATACCCTTATCTAAGTTCCTCTTTAAAATGGGAATTGAGTAGGAAATTATTATATTTTTAACGATTTATAGTGGGCTAATTTTTTAAATAATTCCCAAACGAATGCATTGGGATGGGTTACCCCTATCAAATAGAGTGAAGAAAACAAAAAAAAGCTAAAAATTGGCAAAATCAATGAATTAGTTGAAAGAGTTTTAAGTAAAATGGTAACTTCAATTTTGATTATAACGCATGGCAATTTCAAGTGGAATTCGCAGAAGATTATACGCTTTGAGATGAATTATCTAATTAGGATAATCATATGAAGGAAGCAGAACATCATGGGACACACATTAGCTGCAATTCAATTCCAATTAGTTGTTTATTTTCTCACCTCTGGTGTAGTTACACAGATAAAACTGCCAACTCTTGTGCCATTTTCAACTCTGCTTTCAACAAAAAATATATTGCTATTTCCTTGTATTACTACATGATTATGCAAATTTGCTTGAATGAAATAGGTTTCTAACTCTCATGGCCCACGTTTAGTGCCTAAGATTTCATCAAGAGTGAGTGCTTAATCACCTTATCACAAGATCAATACTTAAATTTTTAATTTTTTTAATTGTATAGAGGAGTTATATTCTGAGAATATATTTCAACTTCTTGAATTGTTAAATACGCTTGCAAAGTAATCTCCCAATTTACTTATTTATTTCAAATGACAGGTGTTTTGATAGTTATCATTAGTCCCTTAGTTAACTTCGGGCTTCACAGAGAGGAGGAGGAACATCAAAGTGAGAAAAAGTCGATAGAGGGGAACAGAAAAGTGATTCAGAGATATAAGAGAGACAGACACAAAGGTAGAGAGGAAAAGATAAGGTGAGTTCTGTAGAAGTGATTGAATACGACACACAGTAGAGTCATGATGGTTTGAAGTGTGAAGTCAACTGCACTTTATAGACTTTTTGCCGCATGAGTATACGTTGCCCAGAGTGCACCACATGGAGGTAAGTCTATCACGAACCCTGTAATCTCCTAATAAAATCCAATAGATGCGGACTCTTTAGGAATAAAGGAGGGGCCAGCTGAACTTTCCCCCAATTAAAGTCTAAACATGTGTCATTCTCTTGACATTGGCTAACTTGAAAATAAGAATATGAAATTCTTGTCAAATCGAAATATATATTATCATTCCTACGATTTGCAAATTCTTCTGGTTGTGATTTTTTGCTTTCCTGATTAGAATATTTTGAAGTGATCATGTGCTTTAGTCATTATATCATAGACGGCCCTAGGAAATAGGTAATAGTAGAAGATCAGAAATAATTGTTTACCAGTTGTCATGAGACAACAATAGAACAAAGATACACGAACTTTAAACACGCAAACATATTTATGAGTGCTCAAAGCCATTGAGTAATGCGCGATCGATAACCTAACAGTATTCTTGTTGAGAAATAATTAACCATTTGAGTCCTGTAACATCGTAGAGCGTAAAAGCACATTGAGCCGATGATATTTGGTGTACCTGCCTATCGGCATACCAAAGTGATGTCTTTTTTCCCAATATAGTTTTTAAAATACTAAACACCGAAACAATTATGCTAACTCCGTCGTAACGTAATTATAAAATTACAGTACATGGGTACACCAACAGAAGAAACATGGCCGGGAGTATCAAAATTGCCCAAATATAAGAATCTTCTCGGTAGTTCAGCACATCATCGACGCCATAGGCACAAACATCATCATGGTCACGATCACCATGATCAACACTATCATCAGTCTCAGCGCCGTGGTGGGAGTCGAAGTGGAAGTAGTGGATTGTTGTGGCATATGGGAAAACCACTGGATCGAGTTGTGCCCAGACTGGGACATATCGCGCACGCCACAGCGCTAGCGACTGCGCTTCTGCAACTGCCTCCGGAAAGAAGAATTACTGCTCGGGCTGCTCTACGACATCCGTACTTTACCGTCTCTTTGCCTACTGCTCAACTTGCCTGTCTTCCTGATAGTAAGTTTAGGTTTAATTTATCGAAACCATCACTTTGATACCTACACAATAATGTACCTTTCCACAAGTCAAAGTCTGCTAGATGGTGAACGAAGCCTTTCCATAAACGGTTTTTTATTGAGTCATATCATAGGTAAGTTGCCAGTCTGCTTAGGCCACATTTAGGCGAGTGAAACAACCAATCCCATCTGATAATATTGACGGGGAAACGATAGAATATTAGCGTTTCAAGAAGGCAAGAATATATGCTTTCCGCGGGTTTGAGAATCGAGCTATTTTCAGTTGTCAGAATATTTGTATAGACTGGTAATGAGTGAACCAATTTATAGGCATGAAGTTAATGTAAGCAATGAAAGATGAATTTTAAATTTGCAAAAGTCCGAAATTTGAATAATCTTCCTGTCTGAATGAGTGGCTCACTATTTTTTATACAAACTAGGTCTAATTTTTGTGAAGTACTTCAATACCATAAAAATTTATTACCATAAAATTAGAGGTCAAATCACCGTTTTGCTTCTATCCACTATCTGACCTAGACATATTGACAAGGTATACATAATCGCTACACGACATGCTTTGGATCGCGTGTTGCTTCATTCAAGGCAACAACCCATGTCATAAAGTCATAATTTAGACTAACTGGTTTATTCCTGAAATCAATTTCAATCAAAAAACTCATTTTAATAGGCTGAATCAATTACAACAATCATAACTTTGGGATGGAAGAAGGTCAATAGCCAATTAAATTTCTTCTGGATGAAATGATGTCGTTGTAGTAACTTTCATAGGGAGAAGTTTATCTGGAGGAGTTTAAGATGGAATAGAACCATCTAGCCTCGACAACGTTAGTTCACCAAAGATTTATTTATATCAAATGGCAGGCGTTTTGGTGGTTATCATTATCCCTTTAGTTGACTTTAGGCTTCACAGAGGGGAAGGAGCATCAAAGTGAGAAAAAAGTCGAGAGAAGGGGGGGGGGAAACAGAAGAGTGTTTCAAAGACGAAAGTAGAAAAGGTGA